TTTGGTCAATGACATGAGACAAAGTATATGTGAACTGCTGTATGAAAAGTGAATTTACTCTGTAAATCTTCACCCAAATACTAATAAAAAAAAAAAAAAAAAGAAAATGTGTGAAGCTCTTTGAGCCCCGTGCCGGTACCTGGTGGAAGTGCTGTGGAGGTGGTTCTGATGATTCGATTAAGGTAGATCCCTCCAGCCTCAGTCGAAGCTAGCCCAGCGTATGGTTGTTGGGCAAACGGTCTCGTTGCCTGGTTGGTTTTGCTTGCAGGCAAAAGAAAGCTTGTTTTCTAGGAGTTAAAAAATAATATAAATTACCAACCTCAAACTTTCTGGAGCTGTTGCCCTCCTTGGGCCATCATTATATTTCACCCAGTGCTGGCCAGCTCCGCAGGCTGTCAGCTGCAAAGACTGGCACGTTGGGATGAGGGGAAGTTAAGCAGTCATGCTATTTTTGATCATGCTGCTTTGACCCAACCTCTGTTCACCTGGCATCTTTGTCTTGGCATCTGTGAGTAGTGGACAGGCCACTCAGGTGTGTTTATAATGTCTTCTCTCTGTTTTCAGACACAGGCTTGAACATCCGTTCTCTTTTCTCTGACCAGGTAGTGGATAGTGACAGACCAGAAGGGTCCAAGTTCCGGCTCACTGGCAAGGGAGTGGATCAAGAGCCTAAAGGAATTTTCAGGATCAATGAGAACACTGGCAGTGTCTCGGTGACACGGACCCTGGACCGGGAAACGATTGCTACTTACCAAGTGAGTGTTCACGCTTGCTTCCCCCGGGTGCGGAGATGTGGCTTTCAGAGATGGCTGCCTCCCCACCGAGCTGGTTATTTCTGTTACTGCCTCATCAAACCTGGGGCTGTGCAGCTGTAGGGATTCTCAGTGGGAGCTCTGGTGGAGGTGAACCCCAATAGGACACATTGGGAGCCCCAGTATTACCAGTAGAGCTTCTTAGGCCACCCTGAGCCCTTGGGCGCTGGAGACCAGGAGGGAGGACTCGGGGTTGTCAGAGAAGTCAGAATCCTTTGTCAGCTCTGGGTTTCCAAAGAGCAGCTTGAAAGATCGGGAGCCATGAATCACCTTTTGGACCTGGTGATTCTACTTTTAGAAATGTATCCTGAGAACGTAGTGAGGAATTGAGATGGATTTTGATGAGAGAATGTCATAGCGGGTCATGGTCTTTC